TCTATCATCTACCTACCTACCTACCTACATACCTATCTGGGATTCCTAGCCCAAGGATTCCCCACTTTCCTCTAAGCTCCAATACCTGTCTTCCCAGAGGGCAGCCCTCACCTTTACCTCTGCAACCGTTCTTTCTACTGACATGCCACATACCTCTTCTTCCTCCAAGGCTGAGGAGAAGCCAGGGCCTGGATCAGGTACTAGATCTTTCGGGGGTGCTTTAAACAGGAAAGAGGTCTGGGCGACATTATTCTGAAGCCAGCAGAAGGGCTGTGTCCCCTTAGAGCTGACCCACAAAATGACAGTTTTGTCTAAAAGCCGTTTTCCAGGCCACACCCTCATCAGAAGGTCATTGTTTCCCCGCTCACTGACCCTGCTCCTGATTGGCTGGCCCTGCCCTCCCCTCCCCCACCAGTCCCAGTGACCTATTGCTCCTAGAGGGACTGGCTCTTTCCGGTTGGCAGGTAGGACAAGTGGGGCAAGGGTCAGGGAGACTGATATGACCCCCGAGTAGTTTTCATGTCTCTTTCTCTGACCTTGTGGAGGGTGGTTGAAATTAGGCAATAGTTTGTAGGTGGTTATTATAAAGCCACGGATCTCCAGAATAAGCAAACACCCAATTTGGTTATTGATTGATTTACCAGGACTATGAAATTTACCAGTACTTACTCTTCAGGCATTTCTGTGAGGCAGATTTTTGTGTGAAGAATTACGTACCTGTCTTTTTTGATCGGTTAGGTGCACGCTTCTGACCTCATTTACCCCAAAGGTAACTTGTGGCCCAACGCTGGCATTGGATTTGGGTTTCTCAATCCAATATGACACCGGCAAAATCTTTTAAGTGGCTGGCATATTTTCCAACAGCTTAAGTCATGTTTTGATTTCCTAGCTGTTCTTACGTATGTCATAACTACACTTAAAACATTTAGTGACACGTATGTAAAACTTGAATTTAAGAAAGTTGAACTGAAAAAGCAAGGAATCATTCTCAAGCCCAGCCCTCTAACTGAATTTACCGTGTGCTCCAAAAAGTTGTAAAACACAGTTGTCTTAACGGAGGAAGAGATTCCTTTAATTATGTCTGTCGAGAACATTTTCTGATGTCAGTTGTGGAAACCGGTCTTAATATAATTAGAATCATACCTCATATAATTAAACAGACCCCTTAGGGAGGAAGCCGTGTTAACATCAGTGTTTTCTATTTGTGTTTCATTATGTAAACAAGCTCCTGTTTTCTTCATGGAGAGGAACCTGGGCTCCCAGGTCAGGCCAACCTTTCCTGATTGTTTGAACAACTTTAAAGAGAGACCATCTGTTTACTAGGCAGAAATGAGTCAATGTTGCTTTGAAATGAATGCCAAACCACAAGAAGATTAGGTTAAAGAATTTATCTTGAGTATGCTCCACCCTGCCTCTGGGTCCCCCGCACCCCTACCCCAAGCAGCTTGTTTTCTGCTTTAACCTGTGGAAGTCTTAGAAATTCCAATAGTCACTACCCCAGAAGGTGTGCAAATAGGGGTAACATGGCCCACCTTTTTTGCAGGTATACTTTGGTCTAAGTACTTTTGGGGTCTACCTTCAATTAATAAGCTTACCGTTTTTCTGAAACTTACTACACTTTATTTTGTGTTAAAACGTTATTTTGATTGAGCTTTACAACAATCTTATCAAGTAAATACTCTCCTCACCCCATTTCACTCTTGGATATATACTAAAGCCCAGACACAAAGGGTAATAAGGTTTCACAGTTAATATGTAGCAGAGTTGAGCTGAAACACCCTGGGAACTCACCTAATGAAGTTTTGGGGACCAGTTAGAAATTTTGATAGAGAATTCAACTCAACAGGACTGATCAAGTGATTTGCACCACTGTGAAAAGTACTTCTACGGAGCTCAGTGCCTACATTGGTAGCGAGGGCTTCTGGTATATAAATTCTCCTAGATTTTCGAAAATAGTTGTGAAACTGGTCAGTGGACTATGTGTTTCCAATGTCAGCAAGAGTTAACTAGACTCTTAATTTTTAGGATTCAATAATGGGATGGATGAGAGTTCTGGGCATAAATAAAAGGATGAGCTGATGGTCTGTCCATGGAACTTCTGAGAACCAACAGGAAGATAATTGTGATTGTATCTAAATGCTACAATTAATTTGACGAAGTGGGGCTTAGAAGAACCCATTTAGGAAAGAGCAGGTTTTATTTATTTATTTTTTTTCAACGTTTATTTATTTTTTTTTTGGGACAGAGAGAGACAGAGCATGAACGGGGGAGGGGCAGAGAGAGAGGGAGACACAGAATTGGAAACAGGCTCCAGGCTCCCAGCCATCAGCCCAGAGCCTGACGCGGGGCTCGAACTCACGGACCGTGAGATCATGACCTGGCTGAAGTCGGACGCTCAACTGACTGCGCCACCCAGGCGCCCCAGGAAAGAGCAGGTTTTAATGAAAAGAAAGAAACATCACTTCAACATATATATTTTAATAAACTTTTTTGTGTCTATGCCATATTTCGTAATAGATGTTTTTCTTAAAGGTTTAACCCTAGGAAACACATACACACGTGCTCACACATGCCAAACTAATTCAAACAGCATGGTTTATACAAAGAAAGCAATAATGGGGCACCCGGGTGGCTCAGTCAGTTAAGCGTCCAACTTTGGCTCAGGTCATGATCTCACGGTTTGGGAGTTCGAGACCTGAGCTGGGCTCTGTGCGGATAGCTTGCTTCGGGTTCTGTGTCTCCCTCTCTCTCTCTGACCCTCCCCTGCTCATGCGCTCTCTCAAAAATAAACATTAAAAAAAGAAATTGGACTCTTCAGGACCTCTTTACTTCTGTGTCAAATTCTCTAATCCTTCCTCCTCGAAGGTGGATTACAGGGAAGGGATAAGTGATTAAAAAGTGCAAGGTTTTCACCGATAATTGCCTCGATCAGTTAAATATATTATTTAAAAAGTTCTTGGGGCACTGGGGTGGCTCAGTTGGTTAAGCGTCCAACTTCGGCTCAGGTCACGATCTGGTGGTTCGTGGGCGAATCCATGGTGTGGAGCCTGCTCGGGATTCTGTCTCTCCTCTCTGCCCCGCCCCCACTTGTGCGTGCGCACGCGTGCTCTCTCTCTCAAAAATAAACATTAAAAAAATGAATAAAAAGTTCTTTTTGTCATTGCTTCTTCAAACTTAGAAATAACTTGCTTTGCTGATTCCTTTGACTACAGTTCTGCCCAGGACGGGCTCTAGTAGGATTTTCAGAAGGAAGCTCAGTACTCCAAACTGGAGCTCCAATCAAATAGGATATTGATTATATTTCTAGCACGGAGTAGTCTATGTCCAGTCTCTCTCTTCAAAATGGGGACAAAGGTCACACATGTTTACACAAAGCTGACTTGGGGCCCCTGGGCGGCGCAGTGGGTTAAGCGTCTTGATCTTGGCTCAGGTCATGATCTCGTGGTTCAGGAGCTGGAGCACTGATGGCGTGGTGCCTGCTTGGGATTCTCGCTCTTCTGCTCTCTGCCCCTCCCCTGCTGGTCTGTGCGCACTCTCTCTCTCTAAATAAATAAGTAAACTTAAAAAAATTAAAAAAAAGAAAGCCAATTTATGTTCCAGGCATTCTACTAGGCACTTTGATTTGCCCAAAGTCATAGATTATAAACCATAGAGCTGGGATTCCAACTTAGGACTGGAGAGCCTTTTCGGCCACATTCTATCAATTATTGACTGTAATTCAATAACTGAGAAATCTTTTGTTACTCTGTAGCCATACAAGAATTGCTAGCATTCCATTACCCATTTCTCACTCTCTTTAGCTCTATTTCCTTTTACTTCTAGCTATTTCACCACCCTTCCCTGTAAAAGAGATAATTTAACCTTTCAACTCTCTCTGGTTGAGTAGTACAGAAGCAAGCCAAGGGTATGTAGGAGCAAGTATGATTTATTTGCGGCAGAGAGTAGAAAAAAAATGTTACTAATAGCCATAGATACATTCCTTAAGTCATATACAAAGAAACACTGTTATTAAAAGTTTGTTTTATTTTTCTGTGAAATTGAGTATTAGCCCCCAGTTTACAGTCTTTTTTTTTTTTTTATGGCTTCCAAACATTAGCACAGTTAATATCACCTCATCAATAACCAAATAATAAATCAAATTAGTCCCAGTGGTTATATGCCCACATCTAGATTGTTCGGGTGGTCAGGAACTCTTAGTTGTTTGCTTTAGCTTTTAGTTCTTGGTTATATCTATAAAGGAAACAGAAAAAGAATAATTATGCATCACCATAGATAACTATGTAATAAGAAGGGAATGGGAGGCATATTCCCTGTCTCCTTTCTCACTAGTCAAGAGGCTGTATGGTTTTAGCTACAATCTTCTCAGGGGCTGGTGGGTGAAACAGGCAGAAGGGAAAGTGACCTAAGGATTTTATTTGCATCTGGCTTCCAACTGCCAAAAAGTTTCAACAACATAACTGACAAATAGCTTCCTATACAAAAGTCTTATTTTGGCATTTTTATTCTTGAATTGTAACAATGTAACAAACATGTGAACATACAAATAAAATTTAGCAACATGTGGTCATCTGGAACTTTATAATCATGGAACATCTTTCCTAAGAATAAAATGAATTGGGGATGAGATCCTAAGCACTAAAAATAAAATATACTTTTTAAAAAATAAAATAGGGGCGCCTGGGTGGCGCAGTCGGTTAAGCGTCCGACTTCAGCCAGGTCACGATCTCGCAGTCTGTGAGTTCGAGCCCCGCGTCAGGCTCTGGGCTGATGGCTCGGAGCCTGGAGCCTGTTTCCGATTCTGTGTCTCCCTCTCTCTCTGCCCCTCCCCCGTTCATGCTCTGTCTCTCTCTGTCCCAAAAATAAATTAAAAAAACGTTGGAAAAATAAATAAATAAATAAATAAATAAATAAAATAGACTTTTGTGATGCTGACAGGCTACTGAGTTTTTAGCAGTTTGTAGACACTGGGTTAACAGAATAGTAAAGCTAAGGCCTATTTCTTCAATTCTCATTAATCCAAAGAAGAATTAACCACCAAGTTAGAGTCTTTCCCTTCTACAACACCCAGAGCTTCATTTACTATTCTGTCCCAGATTATAAGGGTGGAGAATAGAGCACAAGAAGTAACTTTTCCACGAAGTCTACCAGAATCCCAGATTTCTCTAAAGGTTCTGATTTCAAATATCCCATGGTGCCTGTCTAAATGCTCCAGAGTCCAACACTTATATTTTGAACTAAATCTCCCAATCTACTGTTGTGACTGAAAACAGTGCCGAAAATCCTTTTGTCAAACTGTATCTGTGTTTCCACTTTAGAGATAATGATTCCAAATGTTGCATTCAGTGTGTTTGCAGCCCTCCCATTATGGCTTAATATAAAGTTAAAATGCAACGGTGGATGAGAAAAATACTCGTGAAGAAAGTCACCGTACAGACTGAAGTTTCTATCAATACAACTAAGCTCTAAAAATGCTTTTTGGATGTGCGGTAGAACAAGTGAGTGATTCATCATCCATCCATTCTGTGCTAGAGGATAATGAAAGGATTCACGTGTCAAGCTAGGATAGCAAAGATGAGAAAAATGAAGGACAGAACAGAACGCCTTCTGAAAGGAAGGCAAATTATAACTGAATATTGTCCATTTCTTTAGTATGGAGATCATTTAATTTTTTTTTAGCCAAAGAGCACTGTTTTGCAATTTAGGAAGGTTCTGTGGTTCAAGCGAAGCCGGAGCCTTCATCTACGCTGAGCTCGAGGCAGAGTGTGAACCAGTCACTGACAATATTAACTACCGAGTACAGACAAGCTTCGCAGACATAGTGCGCTCAGCTCCAGACCGCCACGATAATGAATATTTTGTGAATGAATCTTCAAATGAATATTTTAGCTTCCCAGTTCATATAAAAGTGACATTTACGCTATGCTGTATTCTATTAAGTGTGCAATCGCAGTAGGTCTAGGAAAAAAAGTACATACCTTGATTTAAAAACATCGCTTAAAAAAACGCTAACCATCATCTATGTTTTCAGCAAGTCATAATCTCTTTGCTGGTGGAGGGTCTTGCATCAACGCTGATGACTGCTGACTGACCCGGGTGGTGGCTGCGGAAGGTTGGGGTGGCTGTGTTTTCTTAAAACAGGACAACGAAGTTGCCACATCAACTGACTCTTTCACAAATGATTTCCCTGGGGCATATGATGCCATTCGATAGCACCCACAGTGGAACTTCTTTCAAAACGGGAGTCTATCCTCTTAAACCCTGCCACCGCTTTATCAGCTACATTTATGTAATATTCTAAATACTGTACTTTGTTGTCATTTCAACAATCTCCACAGCACCTTCACCAGCAGATTCCATCTCAAGAAACGCTTTCTTTGCTCATCCATAAGAAGCAACTCCTCATCCATTCAACCCTGTGATTGCAACAATTCAGTCCCATCTTCAGGCTTCGCTTCTCATTCTAGTTCTCTTGCTGTTTCCACCACATCTACAGTCACTTCCTCCACTGAAGTCTGCAACCCCTCCAAGTTATCCACGAGGATGGAAATGGACTTCTTCCAACCTCTTATTCATGTTGATATTTTGACCTTTCCATGACTATTCTTAACGGTACCAGGATGGTGAATCCTTTCCAGGTTTTCAATTTACTTTGCCCAGATCCATCGGAGGAATCACTCTCTATGGCAGCTATGGCCTTACAAAAGATAGTTCTTAAATAAGAAGACTTGAAAATCAAAATGACTCCTTGATCCAGGGGCTGCAGAATGGATGTTGTGTTAGCAGGCATAAACACGTGAATCTTGTTGTACATCTCAATCGGAGTTCTAGGGTAACCGGATACATTGTACATGAACAGGAATATTTTGAAAAGAATCTTTTATTCTGAGCGGCAGGTCTCCACAGTGGGCTTAATATTCAGTAAACCACGTTGTAAATCGAGGTGCTGTCACCCAGGCTTTGTTCCATTTCTAGGGCACAGGCAGAAGAGACTGAGCATTATTCTTAAGGTCCTCAGGATTTTCGGAATGGTGCATGAGCACTGACTTCAACTTAAAGTCACCGGCTGCAACAGCCCCTAACAAGAGAGTCAGCCTGTCCTCCGAAGCTTTGAAGCCAGATATCGGACTTCTCCGTAACTGTGAAAGTCCCGGAAGGCATCTTCTTCCAGTAGGAGGCTGTGTCACCCACATTTAAGATGTGTTGTTTACCGTCGTCGCCACCTTCGTCATCTTGCTCCATCTGCTGGGTAACTGGCTGCAGCTTGTCCGCCAGCACCTGCTGCCCCACCTTGCGCTGTATGTGGCGGAGACGGCTTCTTTCCTTGACCCACAGGAACCGACCTCTGCTGGCTTCAGACTTTTCTTCTGCAGCTTCCTCACCTCTCTGAGCCTTTCAGAGAACTGAAGAGAGCGAGGGCCTTGCTCTGGATCGGGCCTTGGCTACCGGGAACGTCGTGGCCGTTTGATCATCTGTCCAGACCACTAAAACGTTCTCCGCATCAGCGATGAGGCTGTTAAGCTTTCTTATCGATCGTGCGTTCACTGAAGTAGCACTTTTGATTTCCTTCCAGAACTTTCCCTCCACATTCACAGCGTAGCTAAATATTCGGCACAAGAGGCCTACCTTTTGGCCTATCGCGTCGGCTTTCAGCCTGCCTTCCTCACTAAGCTTACTTATGTCTAGCTTTTGACTTAAAGTGAGAGATGTGCATCTGTTGCCTTTCACTTGAACACTTAGAGGCAAACTGTAGGCTTATTAATTGGCCTATTTTTACTATTGTTGCGTCTCAGGGAATAGGGAGATCTGAGCAGAGGGAGGGAGATGGGGGAATGGCCCAGTCGGCGCAGTTAGAACACACAACGTTCATCAGTGAAGCTCACGGCCCCATTTGGACGTGCTTCGTGGACCCCCAAACAACGACAACAGTAAAATCAAAGATCACTGACCACAGAGCACCACCACAAGATTGTGAGAATGACCAAAATGTGGCACACAGACACGAAGGGAGAAATGCTGTTGGGAAAATGGTGTCGACAGACTTGCTCGACGCAGGGTTGCCACAAACCTTCCGTATGTAAAAAGCGCAACATCTCTGAAGCACAATGAAGTGGAGTGAAACGAAAATGTGGGACGCCTACAAACAGTTTTAAAAATATTCATAGGATACTTTCTGACAAGACCCGTAGCCTCACGCCAAACATCATTTCCAACCACTACATAACCACACCCATTTTATTATCTATAATTGAAAGCGAGCGTTTAAAATGTTCATGGAGAAAATTACTTAGTATTTCGTAAATCATGTCTGTTGTCTTAAGACAGATTCTGTGAATGGGCTGTATTTCTAGATAATACACAGTCAGATTTGAAACCTATGTAGCAAACATATTGCTTAACACTTTGAACTTAAGCCCCCAGATTTTTCTAGAAACTTCTGCTTCAGGCCTATTCCATCTTAACATCATACATGAATCTTAAAAAAAAAAAAAAAATGCACTGCCATCTGGGTGGCTTCTGAGGCAGATTTCTCTTTTTACACCTTTGGTGGGCTTACCTCCAAATACGAAAGAGCTGAGAGGCCCCTGCTGCCCCCACGAAGAAATTAACAGCAAACAGACTCCAGTTTTTTGGAATAATTACAAGTGAGTATCTTGACCAAATAAACCCTGTTGAAACAAAAGATTTTTTTTTTTTTTTAAAGCACAGGTACTGCTGCAATATCTTTTGAACATTCTGTATTAGAGCAATATAATTATAAGACCGTGACAACATAAAGCAGGATAAAAGAAAAGCTATGCTTTGAGACTTTAATAAAGTTGCTATAATTCAGTGTTACACAAAATACGCAGTTCTTACATCAACAGGGAATCTTTACAGGGCAAATGAATATTAACCAACTTTTTTTCCTACTTGCAAAAATATGTTCGTGGTAAAACAAACAAACAAACAAACAAACCAAAAACCCACGCAGATACTTATTCACAGTAACCCTCTTATCGAATAATTAACTGCCCAACGAGAACACTGTTAACTCCTTTGTGTGTGAGTGCATGTGCGTTTCAAACGTTAAACCGTTAAATAAATTGATGTAAGACAAAAACAAAAATACTGAATGCCCTAAATGGAACAGGGAAAATGCTCATTTAATTTACCTGTAGCCATGAGAACAGCAGACTGAGCTGTGCTGAGTTTCTCTGCAGGTCTGGCCATGTCAGCCAGCCCAGCACACACGAGGCCCTGGAGAGACACATTAACACACAGCAAGAAAAACAGCCTCATGAGTGTGCAGTCATAGTTCTTCACTTTATTTATTTATTTTTAACGTTTATTTATTTTTGAGACCGAGAGAGACAGAGCATGAATGGGGGAGGGGCAGAGAGAGAGGGAGACACAGAATCGGAAACAGGCTCCAGGCTCTGAGCCGTCAGCCCAGAGCCCGACGCGGGGGCTCGAACCCGCGGACCGCGAGATCGTGACCTGGGCTGAAGTCGGACGCTCAACCGACGGAGCCACCCAGGCGCCCCAATAATTCCTCATTTTAAATAACACAAAGTTTCAGAGATTTCCACACGATAGTAGCTATGATTTTAGTATCCGCGCATTAAGAAAATATATACGTCACCAAAAACTACAATGAGTTCAGGGCTGCTTTTCGCATTTGTGTCTTGTTAACCACATCAAGTGGCCTCATATATTTGAAAATTAGTAGTGTGTGCGTATTCTTTTTTAATTTCGTTAAAAAAGTAACTATGTTTGAAAGTTATTAAGAGAGAGAGAGAGGGAGGAGAGAGACAGAGCATGAGCAGTGGAAGGGAAAAAAGAGAGGGAGACACAGAATCTGAAGCAGGTTCCCGTCTCTGAGCTGTCAGCATTGGGCCCGATGCAGGGCGTGAACTCGTGAA